AACAAAAATGCAAAGAAAAGTTTGTAACCAATTTTATTTTGTTTTTTCCTGACGACGAAAATTGCAGCAACAACTGTGAAAAAATGCTATTCATTGACCATTTGCAGACAAAACCACGTAAAAACTGTCAACGCCAATAAAAACGCAAATCGCCACAAGCCCCGGGTGGAAGGGGTGAGCGCGGCGAAGGCAAAGCGCATACGAATAAGGAACATGAGTACGCATACACACATGCATACATACATACCTGAAAGGTAAAAACACATGGCACTGTAACAAAGTGACCACGAAATTGATACCGATATTTTTTTAGCCAAAAACACAGTATGACAAAACAACAACAACGACTATAAAAATTAACCAAATTCAGTGGCGCTACATACAGTACATACGTACACACCGTCAACTGTTCGCAAAGCATTCCGGTTGAGACTGTGCGCGGCTGAGACTGTGCGCGTATTGAGTGCGAAAATGTCACTGCTGCAATAACTGTAAGGCCTGAAGTAACAACAACGAACACCAAAAAAAGGTTGCTCACAGTCAATAATAATATAAGAAATATTCTGTGATAGCCGGCAGCAATCAAAGCAACGGCAATTGCACGCGAATCGCATTTTCAGCCAATAAATCAAATAAATCAAGTTTAAAGTAATTTGGTCAAGCACCAAGTGAGCCGAGAGCACTTGCAAATACACATACTCGTACATAAATAAGTATGGTCCCTGCAGCAATGTACCGAAAAAATTATTTGTGTTCGGAATTGTTTTTTCATTTGTAAAAAATTTGATTTGGTTAAGCATTTTAAACGTTTCTAACCAAATGCGGCAGCCGCAGGCCTCTACGGTGGCAAATATTGCCAAAAAATAGTTAAGTGGATTAGTGATTTAAATTTTTTTGTTTTCTTTGGATCTGTTGGCATTTTGGGGCAGTATTTGTAACCGTAGTAGTTATTTTTTGGGAGTCGTAAAATTTGAATTTTTTCATTATCCAAATAAAATACTTCTTTGAATTTTTGCGCTCAGAACTTGCTTTCAATGGAATGATATTGACACATGTCAACTTTATGGAATGAAAAGATCTGCTTAAAACTAATAAGTATGTATTTTCAAAAAACGCATGACATACAAAATACCTAAGGCCACCGCATTGATTATATTTTACTTAACTTTTATATCTTCATGTTTTTCAATTTTATTTTAATTTATTTTATTTTATTTTATGACTCCATTTTAATAAAAACATCAAGACGCAAAACCACAATTGGCGTAGCAGCTCGCCGAAGAACGCTTCAGCGGTTACAAAGCGCCAATTACATAATATAGTATTTTACTCTATTTTATTTTATTTAACTTATATTTTTTAATTTAAGTTAAATTATTTTTTTACTTTATATTACTTTTTATGTTTTTTTTTATTTGTTTGAAATTTTTTGATTATAATTTATTTTTTATTTCATATTATATTGTTTTTATTTTATTACTTAACATTAATTTAATTTAATTTTTAATTAAATTTTGTAATTTATTTATTTTATTTTATTATCATTTTTTGTTTTATTTTACTTTTTTACTTAATTAATTTGTGTTTGTTTATTTTATTTGTGTCATTATATTTTTTTCATTATATTTAGTATTATTTTATTATTTCCTTATTTAATTTTACTTTCTTATATTTTATTTTATTTTATATTAATTATTTTATTCAATTTAATTTATTCTATTTTATATCATTTTATTTATTTTATTTTATTTTGTTATTTTTTCAATTGCTATTTGCTTATTTTTGATTTATTTTAATTTATATTTTTATATTTTATTTCATTTTGTTTCATTTAAATTTGTTTTATGTTATTTTATTTTAATTCGAGCAATTTTTTTTTAGTTCGTTTTATTTAATTATATTTGATTTTGGTTTAATTATTGTTTTTTATTTTAATTTTAAATTAATTAATTTTAATTGGTTTTTTGTTTTATTTTATTTAATTTTGTATTATTTACTTTTATTTTTTTAATATATATTAATTTTTGCTTACTTTATTTTATTTTATGTAATTTTGTTTTGTTCCATTTCAGTTTTGATATCATAATTGAAATTCCTTGGGATGAGGCGATATTTCAAAAATGTCTACTCATATGATGTGATTGGATTATAAACATATGTGATGTATAATAAACGTGTGATTCTTATGATATGATATAATTTCATAACTGTACATTTATGTGACTGGATTTAGTGAAAGTTGATATCATAACCAGCAGTGCAAGCGATGTGATTTGATTTTTGATTTCATTTAATATTATTGAACATAATGTCACATCACGTGATGTTGCATGTGGGAGCTGATGTAATTTGATTTGGTAAATGGTAAGTACTAACTTTAATATTATGATCGGATGCATTGTGAAATTTATATATACATAAATATATGAGTTTATGTGATGTATTTAAGCGCGATGTGCATATAGGATCATGTGATGTAATTAGACGAGAAGTGAAATAGCAATATGTTCATGAGATGTGATTTGATGCGATGTCATAGAAATAGGTTTGAATGCAGTTTTCGGTTGCAAGGTGATATCATAAATGCATGTACATGTAATGTGACTCATCATGATGTCTTCGGGAATAACTGAAGCTATGCTTATAATATTATAAAGAAACATTTTTCATCACATAACAAAGTCATGTGATTACAAAGTCCCGACGTGATGAGCATTTTGGATGGATTTATATATTCTCTTACAAAGGGTTTGATTGATTGGTGGCTGAATAAATGTGTTTGTTCAAAGGAAATCTCTAAATAAGTAGAAGAAAAAGTCAAGCCTTGATGAGTTCTGACGGAGAAGAAATTTTCAAAGAACGCTTACAACAATTAAGTGACAATTTCCGTCCAGTGACAAAACCTATAAACAAATTGCAGCATACATATTGAAATCATATGTAAATTCATTTATGATGAAATATACAATTTCAACTATTATTTATCTTACGTAATAATGGTGCATACATACACAAACAAATGCAACACTTAACTGCTTTGTATTTAACTTGAACGTGACTTTATGACAATTAATAGTTTTTGCTAATTTTCTGTATACATATATTATATATTTATATATTAGACAAATTAAATTTGAGCTTGATTTGATATTTTTTGCACATTTTTTTATTTCTTTGTTGCAAAAAAAAAAAAAAACAGACACGTAATATTATTGCAAAAGCGAGTAGTTTTCGTGTGCGCTTTTATGGCACAAAAAAGTGCGGCCATATTTTTTATGGCAAAGTTAATCGGTCAAAAACAAATCTTATCAAATTTGCGTTTTGTGAAAACATTTACCTAATGACATTAAATTATAAGAATTATAAGAGCGGTGTGAACAAGTGACGTATTGAGATATAAAGACGAAAGGAGTAGAAGACTAAAGGCTGTCATCTTCGGCGGCCATATAAAAGAGTTCTAAGAGAAAGACCCCGTCGCCGAGTACTGGAAAACACTCCCCTGGATAACCGTGTAATGGGTTGAGGTGCTGATCAACCCTTGTGCTAGATGTGGTAACCAACCCGCGTGGAGCCTAGAGTCACGGCTAAAATTGAGGAATCTTCAGTGAAGCTACTCCGACTTGGTTTTAGGTTCGCTGAAGTCTAAATGTAGTGTCTGTTTATCAGAGGTGCGGCAGTGAACGGGCATCGGTCTTGAAGCAACCGCCTCGCTTTATAATTCAAAATAATTGGTACTTACTCGCCTAGGCTGTGAGCTGGATTTGGTAAACTCCTGCTTTGAAAGTGTCGGTGTCGCTGCAGTATCAACCGGTGAAAGCAGAGGAAGAGGAAGATCTCCACTCTATTGCAAGGACCAAGTGGAGAGGGAACAGGTATCACTTGGTATTTCCGACCGACGCCAAACAAATAAGAGGAGAGAGAAAGCCATATCTGCTTCATTGCCTTGAATTTAGTTATAGATTTTCATCTGTTCTAAACTATTTGTGCACAAAGCTCTCTTTTAAACATTCCTAGAACTAATACCGCCTCGGATTCATCTATAGGTGCTCCTTGTTAGCGGAAACGTTTCTCTGTTCAGCAACCCAAATAATGGGTAAGTGAAGTTGACCTACCAGTGAGCTTAAAATCTTAATGCATTGTTGACTATGTTGGTCTTATTCTTAGCGGATGACAAGGACTACAATGCCGCCTGACTGTTTGTGTATAATGATTGCTTTCTTTATTCTCAAGTAGTTATTCAGAAGAGCTTCATAGGTGATGTAAATTGGAGGAGGGGCTCGACCTTTCTTTCCTTTTGTATCTTCTGGTGAATAGAACCAATTCGGTTTTATCTGAGTCAACACCCAATCCGCCAGTTCCCAACTATGTAAAGAGCACTTCTGAGTAGATCGGTTAAGGCTTAAAGGTGTTTGCCAGTGCACCCTTGGTCTCGACGTCTATGTAAGACTATTCTTTTTCAATTCAATTTAATTGGCATGCCTACCGAATGACAATCAAAGGGTTTCCCCGCTTCCCCCAAGCGCTGCACCCGACTCCATGCTACATCGCACAAACCTTTCTTGTAAGGAAATACACGTAAGTGTTTCTCAAATCTCCCGTAGGCGCACCAAATGACTTCATTTCAGCGAAAATTGTCTGTTGGCACATACTTACATGCAGTAATGGGATATTTATAAAAATGTTCTCATTGTAATTGGCGCTACAAGAAAAAACAAAACAAAATCAAAGTAAATTTATGCGCACATGTGGCCAAAAAATCCAAACGGTGGGCGCACGTCGCGCCAGCGTCAACGAACCACATGCCAACTAGTTTGTTCGATAACATACATATATACATATGCATATATACTCATTTAAATAAACACAAATAGGACTTGCCGCCCAAGCAAGCTCATGCGCATGCGCACCACAAATGCTTTCATTAGATATGAATAGCCGATAAATAATAATTAAGTCATAAAGTGAGCAAATCGTAGGTGCCATTGAATGAAACGAGTGCATTGAGATTTTTATCAGTTAATTATTTCGAGTGCCAGGTAGGCATACAAATGAATGGCACAAAAAATATTTAAAAAAAAAAGAAACGAAAAAGAATTTAAATTTCATTGAGATTATATAAATGGTTTTAAATTGAATTTTCTTTAATTCAAATACACTTTAGCATTGACAAAAAAATAAAAGTATGGCAACTTCACAGTTTATTTGCTTTCAGCTTTCTTTGCCTTCAGATTTCTTAACGAAATTTTATATCATCCACATTGTAATTGCCCAGTAATAGATCCGACTGCGCCTGTTGCTGCAAACTCAATAGCTTCCGATGCCGATAATGCATTGTCTTCAAACGTTGCATGCGTCGCTTCAGATTGCAATAGACCGGACAGCAATCCGGGAAGGGTTTATACATCAACTCCTCCTCATCGCCCTGTTCGCATTGTTCGGGCAGTATATCCAGGCAGCTAAATCAGATGATAAAAACAAAAGAAGAAAAGTAAAATAAAAGCGAATTGATTAGTGGCATCACATTGACAATGTTGTTAGGAGAGGTGCAACTACGAATATCTACTCGTTGGGTCTAGACATCTTTTCCACTACAAAAATAGACCTGGAACGTGGTACGATTTGATTATTTTCACAAAACAAATTGGCACATAAGCTGAGCAGCACCAGACGGCGGGGTAGGAACTTCGATTGTTCCCACATGCAACGGCGATAGGAGCCTGGAAGTGAAAGAAGAAATGGTATACATAATATATATAATATTTTTCATAAATATTGGTTCAGTAAAAAATAATTCATTATATTTGTATTGAATTAAAGGCTTTATTTGCCATAGATATCCGATTATGTCAAATCTGTGCCGTTTTGCTCTTTAACTTTCTGCCATGTTGAAGGTAGTGTCGTTTTGCCGCTCTCATAACAACCCTTGTCTCTATTGGCAAAAAATTCGGACAAGAATAGATGGGAATCACTTGGAGCGAGTTCCAGACTATAGGTGGATGCATAAGAGTCTCCCAACTAAGCTCTAGGAGCTTCTGGCGAATCACTATCGATTTGTGTGGTCTGGCGTTGTCCTGATGAAACACAATTCCCCTCCTATTAGCCAAACCTGGACACTAATGGTCGATTGCCACCCCTAAGGCGTTCCAATTAGTAGTATTACAGGTCCGAAATAAGAGTTTGAGGAGGTAGAAGAGCAGCTGATAATGAAAGCTTCCTATCCTTCAATCTCAACAAGCACACCTTGTTGATCGTCAAACCTGGCTTGGTGACCGTTCCTGCCGGCTTACCGCCCTTCGACCACGAACATTTTCATTAGACATACATCGAGTTTCCGGAATGAAGGTCCCTGGCTGAATAAAAATCCGAGTCTTTGCGGAATAAAAGACCTGGCCGTATTAACTAGCGTATCAAGCCCACCTTACTGCGTCTATAAATTCTTGAACCTCTGACCCATAAGACTGCCTTCTCATTGCACTCCGTAACACTAGACGTCTTACGGCAAGGACGAACTCAAAGGTATATTGTCATTATTGAATCTCCTAAGACCTTCAATTATCATACAACAGTAATCGAAATCTAAGTCACAAGTATTCACTTTTTAGAAATCTTTAGACACGTGGTGAGGATCTGCATATAACAGGACGAGTACGCCGCTTGAAGTCTCACTTTCTCTCTCTCTTTATAAATATTTTTTTAATGTTTTTCATAATCACATAACATATCTTATTAAATCTACCCAGACCCGGTCCTTCACTGAACACTTCCGATTTTTACAAATGATTCTCATTCATCACTTTTTTCATTGCAAATTGTTCACTTACGCAACACTGTATTCGTATCGTCCTCCTCACTGGAATCCACTTGACGGCTATTGTAGTGTCTCATATGGTATTGGCCGAAACCAGCACAAGCGCCAAGGAACATTAAAATTAATAAACATTTCAAATAATTCATTGCGAGTTTTCAAGGACTTTAAATATTTTTTTTTTGAAAATTTCTTGAAATCATGCGAAGAGCGAAATCCCGTCAAGGTCTTTAGGCTTTCAATTATTCCCGCTGACTGTTGAGGTGCTATCCACGCGCGTTATTCAAAACGCACTGAATTCTATTACACGTTCCACAAAATGATGATCGCCTTGATTCATTTAAGTGTTCATTCATAAATTGTTTTAAAGTACACAAAAGCTCACAAACCTACATAAGTACACTGGGAAATAATGAAAAAGTAGACTTACATACAATACTTTACGTAGACACCACTTACGTGATTATAGCCGATTTACAACAATGCGCCATGCATTTCTTTTTTTCTACTGTTTGGCGCCAATTGGAAATACTAAGTACAGACAGGTTCTTCTCTACCTGGTCTTTCCAACGGAGTGGAGGTCTTTCACTTCTTCTGCTTTCGGCGGCGGGTACTGCATCGAAAACTTTCAAAGCTGGAGTATTCGCATCCATATGGATCATATGACCTAGCCAGCGTAGCCGCTGCTTTTTGACTCGCTGAACAATATCGTGCTATAACTCGTACAGCTCATCTTACGCAAAAGCTTTCTCTCGAAAACTCCTAACGCCGTCTCATCAGATCTTGTCATCGTCCATGCTTCCGCACCATATAGCAGGACGAGAACGATAAGGGACTTGTAGAGTTTGGTTTTCGTTCATAGGGAGAGGATTTTACTTTTCAATTGCCTACTTCAATTGCCTAGCACCTGTTGGCAAGAGTGATCCGATCTGCATTTCAAGGATGACATTATTATTGGTATTAATGCTGGTTCCTAGATAGAGGAAATTATCTACGACTTCAAATTTATGACTGTCAACAGTGATATGGTAGACAAGTCGCGAATGCGATTACTGTTTGTGTGATGACATAAGATATTTCGTCTTGTCCTCGTTCACTACCAGACCCACTCGCTTCGCTTCTTTACCAAACCTGGAGAAAGCAGAACTAATAAATAAATGAGATGATGTTGTAAAAATATTTGTTGCAAAAATATTTCCCAATTCGGTCGTCGGGGAATATGGCGAAGGGGACACTTTATTATCGGATAAAAATCCGGAGCTCTGCGATATAAATACCTGAGTCGCGTCTTATGACACGCATGGCTTACATTTTTATTTTTAAGTTTTTCTAACAGTGTTCTCACACTTTCACATTCGCACACTTTGCACTTATTTACAACATTTAGAACAAAATTGTTCCACCTCCTCCACGCATATTAGTCATCAACGACGGACAAGTACAGATAGCAATTGCTATGATTTGCATACTTTCTTTATTGTTGTGTTTGTGTGTTGTTTCATTGTCGCTTTTGATTAATATGTACAACTAAAATATTTATTATTACCATTACGTTGAGGTTTGTATTGTATTAAACTAAGCCGAGCTGAGTTGGAACGCAATTTAGTGATTTATCTCTTTGTGAATTGTGTGCGCCCAACACTAGTTAATGATGATTGTTGTTATTGTTTGGTGTAAAATTTGCATAGATTTTTTCTTGATTAACGTATACATATGTATAATTTAAAGAAATCTTAGAAATATATTAATAAAAATAAAATTTGTCTGTTTTTTTATATAACACTTTCTAAAGATTATATTCTTTTTTCATTTCATTAACACCTTTTGTAAAAATTTACAAAACTTATAGTATTTATGTAAACACTCACCGCTTGAGATTTCCACCAAGGTCATAGAGTTAATAAATCATGGCGTGCACTCTTCGCTGCCCAACTGTGAGCATACGTTGTAAGTGCTTGCACAGTCACATATTTATCAGATAATACATAAGAAGGTCAAAATTATACATTTATTTGTGGCTCTCTGCGTAAATCCACAAGCCAGACTAGTTCAATACGCAGGTTCACAGCGCCTCCTTTCCGCTATTTGTGCAGCCTTAATTTTTCTCCAAATGAATTACTCCTTATATATATAATATACATATGTAGATACATATTTTAATGATTAGGGATAAAGTTTTCACATAAAATGGTTTCCCAATTAGATTAAATAAAACATTTATTAAACGCTAAAGCGGTTTTCAGCTGAACTCCGCCTACAACTTGCGATGCTCGTGTTAAGATTTTTGCAACAAGCGGTGAGACGTTTAATTTGTTTTATGACGAGCTCTTCATATTATATTAGAAATACATTCGAAAAAGTTGAATTCCGTGCCGATTAATCTGCCTACTTCTTTTCTTCAACAACGTCACATTTCCTTCTTTCACTAACTTCCGCTTTTAGACTTCCTATGAGATTGCTATGCAATATAAGCTTGTCTATTCTGAACACTTGTAATGGTATTTGATTTCTTTTATTTTCAAGCAACTTAAGTAACTTATTTCAATATTTTTAGTAAAACCATTTCAATTTGAAAGATATCATCACAAAATTTTTGCACTCGACTTCCGTTTCCTAAAAATTCTGCAAACAAAACTAATCTATTACCACTTTTGACACATTCTCCAATTGGAATTGTCAAATTTGACATTTCGCTTTGTTGTACTTACGCGCAGAAGCAGCAAAAATCTAATTGGAATTTTCTAGTAAATCAATAGAGATCGTAAACATAGAACGTAAATCAAGGTAAATTTACGCTCTTTGGCAAAAATTTTATAAAAGACACGCGAGCTGATAATTAAATGTCAGTTTAAAACAGAATACGCAAGATATAACAAAACGAAAGGCTCCCAGCCGATAAAATATAAGTGAATTTTTAAGCTATCAATCAATCAAATCTTAGTGCAAATTATTTTATAAACTTCTATTGCTTAAAAGAAAAAGTAAGGAAAAATGGTACGACGTGGACGTTCTGCTAGCCCACCACCAGCAACCAGGAGGTAAGTGGAGAAGAAAATATATTTTTTTGTGTTTGTGAAAATTTGTAAAAATACGACGATAACAACCGCATGGGTACAAAGTGCAAAATTGTACGCCAAAATGATTAGCTTTTAAACGTAAATAAATATGTACACATATTAGATATGGTAGAAAATATGATTTCTTATGTTATTGCACAAATTCGATGCATTTGAAAAATCTCATGAAACAGTTAGGTTGTTGCGTAACAGCTCTATAATTTTCTCGAACAAATTGGCTTGATTAACGTCAAAATTCGCTGCGTGTGATAAAAACAAGCAAATGTCAATGCCATAATTGTGCACAATAAAAATCTATAAAGCTTTGCATACATGTGATGTAACCGATGTAACTACTTAACTAATAATATTTTTAATATTACTAATAACAGGAGTGTGCCCACACACCATGCGCCGGCACCGACACCAAATGTGCCAGCACGTACTGCACCGGCTGCACCCCCAGCACCCGTGCAGGCAGCACCCAGCGCTGTAGGTGCACCTCAACAACCATCAATGTTTCAACAAATGGCCGCTACCGCTGGCGGTGTAGCTGTTGGTTCCGCAGTGGTAAGTTTGTAATTATTTTTTATTTATAAAAATATGTTTAAAAAAAAATTCCATTTATTTGTAAAAAGTGTCTATTATTATATGCATATAAAATTTATTAACTAATAATATTTTTTATTTTTCTTTTCTTCAGGGTCACACCATTGGCGCGGGCATTACTGGCTTATTCAGCGGCTCTGGTGATAAGGAGGCCGCTGCACCAGCAGCAGCACCGGCTGCTCCAGCTCAACAGCAATACTACGGTAATGCTGCTCAGCCCAACGAGCCACAAGGTGCATGTGCTTGGGAAATCAAACAGTTCCTGCAATGCGCTCAAGGTCAATCTGATTTGACACTCTGCGAGGGATTCAATGAGGCGCTACGTCAATGCAAGGTTCAACATCACTTGCAATAAAGAGTGTGCCGATATATTTATGTACATGCATAATACATTTTAAAAACAAAGCAAACATTTAACTATTTAAATTTATCTCATTAAATGATATAATATAATATTAATTATTGCGATTTGAATGTAAAACCAAACAGATTTATATTTTAGATGTTTAAAGTTCAAGGAGTGAGAATACCTTTTTTTTTTTGCTATTGAAAAATCTTTCGATTTTTTGTGATAAAAGGGGAAGCGCAATAGCGAGAATTACCACTGAAATGGCAAATAATAATAAACAACAAAAACAAAGTTGTTAAATATTTCTCGAAAAATCTACGCAAAAAATATGTGCCTGCGCCGAAATGTGAGTGTGTGAAAGCGTTAATTGGCAAGGAACCAAAAAATAATAATCGGATCATGCCACTAGCGCAACAAAAACAAACTCTTTGCAACTCACGTGCAGCAGACATACGCTGAGTAATCAAAACAAAACAATTGTTGTCATTCGGTGTTGAGGCTAAAATGCAATAATAGAGAAAGGAAAAAAACAATAATTACAACAAATGAAATGAATAATTCCGACTTGTTTTCCCTAAATGTTCGTTGAATGTTTTGAATATTAGTTTTATTTTTAGTCACTAAGTTTATTTCGTGTAATTATGAAATTGCTAAAGGCTGATGGTAAAGGCAGATGGCAAATTGATGAAATACAGTTTAGAAGTAACTAGTAGTATTGTTGTTAAATTTGTGCCAAATATTTAGCGTTTGAAAAAATAAATGATTATTAGGCACTTGTTTGAAAACGCGCTTAAATTTCAATAAAAAAAATAGTTCGGCACCATTAAAACGCATTTGTATTATTTTTCCATATGGTGAAAACATGTTTGTTTATTCGCTCGTGCATTTTTCTTACAATAGGTTATTTAATCAATATGTTGATAAAAATTTCACCAAAGCAGTTGCGCGTGTCACTAGTATTTTGCAAAAAAAACATGTTTGTGTTGTTCAAAAAAGCAAATGACTCACGTTTGTTTATATTTAGTTTTTTCGATGTTAAAATAATTTTGATCAACGGTTTGACTTAGTGAAAAGTTGTGAAATGAGAATTATACTTATATTTTCGATTTGAAGTCAAGAAATGTGCTTCCACGGTAAACATAGTACAACATAGTACAGATGCCTTATGAAACCGTCTACGCTATCTGAGACTGTAACCTACACACTAGACAATAGAACGTTGCTCCTACTCACTGGAGTTGTCTGAGATATTATACGACCAAAAGTTGACACCTTCGGGCGATCTACTCTTGAAATGATTGAGCTTTTCGACAGCGACTAACTTTGTCTACTCCTAAGCGAAGTTATCGATCCCCTCAAACAACAACAACAACATGCATCAAGCAGCTTCAATCTGCAAGTTCCTCAATTTGTTGCAGAAAAAACAATTAGACCGGAAAGCTTTTTGTACATTCTTAATTTATTTTGATGTCCAATGAGTTTTTTGTAAATATGCTAAAAAATGCCCCCACATTAAATCCTCCCATAAGCTCGAATACTGTCCAAAATTGTATATCTGAAAAATATTCTCGGATTATTCCATATCCAGCAAAGCCATCTTCTGCATACGTTCCGCGCGATCTTGCTTAGCTTCGAATTTTTCAATGACATTAAATGCGCGCGCCATGATCGCATCTACTTCACTACCTTCATCCGCCGCTGCTTCCGCATGCTTTCGTTTACGACTGCTGGACTTCGCGCGCGCGCCATCACCATCGGCGCGACTATTTGCACCTAGAACGTACTCAGAACCACCAGCTGCGCCCTCCACATCGCTATCGTATGCGTCCAGCTCGCTTAAGAAGCCAGCATCATATGAGCCATGATGTTTGGCCAATTCGAATTGGTAAAGGCTAGCATCTAGATCCCGCGTCATCTCCGTCACATCGCCACTGAGTGTTTGTTGCTTCAAGGAGAGGAAATTCTTCTCCGCTTTACGGGAAACCGTTTCGGCTTGTTTTATAATTTCATCCAACCGATCGCTACTCATTACCACCGCTTCCCCAGCTGCTGAGTCCTTACTCAGCGAACTGGTATCTTCAGCTTCGATAACTGTATAATCTATTTTCACCGCTTCAACAGCTTCGTTATTTAGCCACCAAGGTATTTGTTGGTAATCTTCCAGCGCCTGTTGGGAGTAAATGATCTCGTTGGGCAATTTATATTTGTTCGCGTCGGCGTTCTCAATGTAGTCCTTGAGAACAGCGTTGATGAGTGCAAAGGAAATCGCTTTTATAACAGACAAATAGTTGATCTGTTGAAAGCGCGCGGGTATTTCCACGTCCGCCAAGTCATTGCGATTCAGTTGCGCAATAAAAGCTTTGATGGATTGATAGCTAGCGGTTGTGGCAGCTTCCTCGTCGTTGGGTATACAAGCGCTGCCATAATTGAGCAGCCAAAGCTCCCAATCCTCGACCTCTGTGTATGCAGGCGCTTCATCAATGGTCGCCAACAGCAAGCGCTGCAGGAATTGCGAAATCCGTAACTGGCGCTGCGTAGATTTCCAATCCCTGGGGAAATATTCCCAGCCCAGCGCTATGTCCACATCCACTTTGGGTACAAATTGTCGCAGCTCTTCAGGAAACTCGGCCGCATTAGCAAAATCGCTTGTGGCCAAATCTATAACGCGCTCCACCGCCTCATTGTAGAGCTCCACTAGATGTTTCGGCGTGCTGCAGATTTTCGCGAAGCATGGATTTTGTTCGGCGGAGTGCTGCCAACGTTGCCACAGCTCTTCGCCCAAGCAAGTCTCCAGCCAACTCTGCAGCTTTTGCATGACATAACCATCAATTGATTGGACAGTTAATCTGTTTTCACGCGCAACAAAACGCAAAGCGCGTCCCATTTGATGTACGAAGGAGAATTCGTTTTTGCTCTGCATACAACCGAAAAACTTGTACGCCGATACTTTGTCCGCCTCCATCAAATTCTCCATTTCCAATAGATCGCCCAACTCCAGCTCGTCTGTATACTGTCCATCGAAGACGACAATCGCCATGGGTACTGGCTTGTGCAGACGACTGAGCTTGAGCAGGTGGTGTATGCGCTTGCGTGTACTCTGCGTGTTGTCGCAGCTCATGAAGCACACCAACGCGTCTATATTATCGCATTCATTTCGCACAGTTTCGCCACCTTCATTGAGTGGCGGTATACCGCTGACCTTGCGCACACATAGCGCCACCTCGCGGTCCACAGCACAAATATATGGCGTCGCAGATTCCTCCATCTCCTCCGACGCGCTGTCAATGCGTCGCACGTGCCTTTGCAACCACTTGCTGCACAAACTTCCGAAGCCGGGTAATTCATCGCTATCGTTGGGTAGTGTGAACAGTAATTTAAAATATTTGTGTTGCTGTAGGCGTCCATATTGCAACGGCTGTTTGTGTATCCAATGTGCGCGCAGCACTTGGAAGATGTCAATGGTGGGACGCGTCGGTGACCCAATGGTATCTGGATGCTTCCAAAGCAACAGTTCGAAATTGCATGGCTCACCGTGACGATAGCGCTTGATCATGCGCAAGTTCTCCGACTTTTTGGGATGCATCAATTTGGCTGTTTGTTCGGCGCGCGTCTCCGCCGTCACCCAAATGGGTGTGGATTCCATTAGAGCGCGTTGCTTTTGTTTCTTGCGCGTATAGCGCAGCCAACGTTCAAAGTAGCGACTGAGCATGAGCTGATCATGGCACATCATGGCATACTCCTCGTTAGCCAACTCTTCCAACTGGGCATTTATGCTTTGCTCGAGCAATGATTGCGCAATGGCATGGCAATCGCAATCAAACTTTTGATATTTGTCGAGTTCTGTCTGTGCGATGTTGGCCACCTGTGTGGTGAGCACATTTTCCAGTTCAACAGCGCTGATATGTTCGGCGCGCTGCTGCAGCGCTTTCAACTCGGCCTCGCGCTTACGTTCCAGCTCCTCGCGTTGTCGTTTTGCTGCCTCAGCTCTTTGTTGCGCTCGTGCGCGTTCCAACTCTTGTTCTTTTTGAAGTTGTGCTGCTTCCGCCGCCGCTTTAGCTTCGAATTCCGCCAGCTGTTTAGCCGCTCTTACCGCTGGCGGCGTTGTTGCTGGCGGTGTTGGCATGAAGGAGTTCCCATCAAAAATGGGTTTCGCTGCTATCTGCAAAGTCGAATGCTGCGCCTCGCCAAAGCCCGGCAGCACGGGCTGTGTATTGAAGTGCTGGAAAACGCTATCATTACGCAATGGGTCGTGTTTGGTAGGCTGCGCTTGTTGGAATATGCTAGCCGTTGATTTGGCAGCGCAGCTGAAAATGTTACCGCTGTTCGCTGACTTGCTAGCGTCATCGAATAGAAAACCTCCAACAGCAGGCTTTGCTGGGTCAGCTGTTGTTGCATTGCCACCAAAAATAGAGTTGCTAATGCCGGCGGAAAACGTGTTGTCGGGTTTAGATGTGTTGGTCAATGGTGTTTTGAATAGAGAACTGCCATTTTCTTTCAGTGGCAGTGGCGCGCCAAAAACGCTACCCCCACTCGCACTCGTCGGCGCTTCAAATTTGAAATCTGTCAACGTAGTGGGTTGTACTTTCGGCTTGGGCTCTGCAAAATGATTGCCACCAAAAATTGAGGGTTCGTCTACTTTTGTGGGCAGCTGTGGCATTTTAAATTGCTGTTGCTGTTGCTTGGACGACTGTGTTGTCGAAAGCTGTGGCACTTTGAAAACGCTTGCATCCATGCGAAGAGCAGGCGAGGACGCGATCGGTGGCAAGGTGAGTGTAGGTGAGTCAGTTCGTTTTTGAACTTTCAAGAATTCCAATTGCTCCACTTTCTGCTGCTGTTGTTGTTGTTGCAACTGCTGCTGTTGCTGTTTTTCCAGCTCACGTTCTCTCCTACGAATATTCGCCGCCTCGCCGCGCAGCTGATCATCTGCTGTCCAGGCAACTGATTTGAGTATACCATTCTCATCAAAACTGTTGTGTGGTTGATGACTTTCGAATATATGAGCTGATTCCAGCGGATGACCGCAAACACATTCGCCAACGCTTACAATACGTTTCGACTCGACCAACTGAAATAAACAAGTTTTTAATAAAGCATAGCAAAATTAAATATAAATATGTATCTAAGCTCACATTCATTGCGCGCTCCATAGAGAACTCGATATCTGGTCGCTTCAAACGCTCCAATAGAACACGCTGATCTTCACAATTTAAGCCATGATAGCTGAAGTATTGCTCCGCAGCTTTCTCATCTTCAAAACCAAGTATCCGCGTAAGATATGTCAATGGCAGAAGCACTTCATTATATCGCCAATTGTGTGATTTATTAATTGCTTCCATGGCACGCCAACGTAATTTATTAAAGTAGCCTAGCAGAATGCAGGCGCTCAAATACGATGTCTCAACTTCACGTATCATACTAAAGAAACGTACATAGTTATTATTTTGTAGTGTATTATAGAAGGAAATGGCGCGTTTAATTTCTTTTGAGTTTTGTATGTGTTCTGGCAACTGTTTCAGCTCCCATAAGAAATTCGAATCGCCCAAATTCAGCAGTACTATGTAGCTGCGAAATTCCGCTTCACATGGACAGTGTATGCCCTTAATGCGTAAATCATGATACATATATTTTAGTGATTGTAAACATTTTGTCAAATTTTCTGCATTAATTTTTTTATCAAACACTGAGGGATCTTCGGCCACTAATCGCGCGGCACAATGTATATGAAAGCGTGCACATTGTTCTACCAATTCTACTGTGCCCAATGAGCAGAGTTCTTGTTGTGTGATATCTTTGCGTATGGAACGCGTGCGATCCCATACAAAGTGAAACCAATCGGCAATTGATGTTTGAGGATCCTCACACAAATCCAATATGCGGTGCATCAGGTACAACATTGTCATTTGTAGCACGCTTTCAGGTCGCAATTCATGTGCAAGTGGCACTTCTTGGTCAGCACTACTGCGTGAATATTCTTTGATTGCACGCTGATGCGATATGGAAGATACACTCTGCTCATGTTCGGCACACATCTCAAATGTGGACACTTGTCGTTGAAATTCACGCATTAAACGCTCTTTCTCGGGACACATGTCAGGACAAATGCCTATAAAAATATGAATAGCTTTAATAACGTTACAAATAATTGTACTGTATTAATTTACCTTTAGTTCTTTCAACTTTATTTATATCTGTCTGTCGTGGTCTTAACAAACGCATCAATTTATCTCTCGCATCTAAAACACGATATTTTTCTTCATCACTAAAAGCTGGCCTACGTAAAATGCTCTCATACTCATATCGTAGAGATGAATCAATTTTGGTTGGTTCTGCTGTCGCCGCCGGCTTGCCCACTTTAGTGGCAACTGGGTTAGTTGGTGTACCAGATTTTTGAGCACGCAATTGAGTTGTTTTTCCCGGCGGTAACATAGTGCTTGCTGGTACTCTATAAGTCGGCAGGGTTTGCCGCAAACCCATTGCATCCAATTCAGCTTGTACTTCGGGATTAACCCATTCTTCTGTGTTTTGTACATGGGCTACTTCGCGGGTGGCATATTCAATTTGAAATTCCTTACCATTAAATTCTCCCGCTTGATCTAAAGCGCGCTCTGCCTGTGCCTCTGTTTCATATTCAACTGTACAAATATGGCGGCTGGGGCGTAGAATGAAACGTGTGATTTTGCCGAATTTACTGAAGTGATTTTTGGCTATCAATTTATCCAAGAAGAGATCTGGTATTTTTTCACAACTATTAAAAGAGAATCATTTTAATAAATTTTCCTACTACCGGTTTCAGCAAGTACTTACGATATGGCTTTGTAGTTGATGCCATCATCCCAACCAGTTTCCTCGTCGCCCAGCATGACGCAATACAATCTAGATCTTTAATATTTGCCAAATGCTTTGTAAAAGTATAATTTTAATTAAAAAGGTCAAAAATATTGTAAAATACAAAAAATATTGTAATTTAACAGTGAATGGTAGAAAGAGCTAAAGGCGCCCAATTGGTATGCCAATGACAGCTGTTTGAAATCAGAGTTGCACAGGGCTGCATCTAAAAATTTAGATTATACACTCTTCCACAGAATTTTTTATAACGAATTGTTTTAGATAGGACTTAATTATTAAATTTATGCCTTCGATATCCGTTTTAACACAGTATTGTTTTCAAACATTTCCTTTAAACATAACTTTCTCAGACTTGATTAGAAACAGTTAATTCCAATTCGAAACCATTCCATTTTTACGAGTATATGATTTATAAAATGTTTAAATAAAGAAATTCCATAACTAAATGTTGGCATCTCTACAAATTTGCAAAATAAAATTGAAATCATTTACGGTTCATATTTATTTTCTGCCAAATAATTTAATAAAAGATATACCTTATAATCTTGGTTTTTATGAAATATGGAGTCCGACTCCATAGATACACCAAATATGGAAGAAGAGCCAATAAGTAAGAAAAATTCACAAAAAAAGCAAAAGACGCCGGTTGCAGCTGAAGCTGCAGGTGACACTACCGGTGGACCAAAGAACCACAGAAAACGCAAAAGACACCATTTCAATGCTATCCGTGCACAAATGGAATTCTATTTTGGCGATGCTAACCTTTCGAAGGATCGATTCCTTAAGCAGCTTATTGACAAAGATCCATGTAAGTAAAAAAGTAATAGAAAATAAAAATTGTATTAACATTTACGGCATGACAATTACAGATGTACCCTTGGAGGTATTTCTAAATTTTAACAAACTAAAGGCTCTAACAACCTCAGGAGCAGAAATCGCTAAATCTCTTTCGAATTCCGAGCTTTTGGAGTTGGATGAAGAAAAGTTGAAAGTAAGACGCAAGACAGCATTGCCTGTAGAACGTAATGTCGATGATAAGACACTTTATGTAGAAGCATTACCGGCGGCAGCAGATCATGACTGGGTGCGCCAGGCTTTCGAACGATTCGGGCCAGTAGTATATGTGTCACTGCCAAAATATGCAAAATCACGAAAAATTAAGGAGTTTGGTTTTGTCGAGTTCGAGCAAGCGAGTAGTGTGGAAAAGGCGATTAAAGCATTTCAAGAATTCAACGGTGTACTTCGCATGCAAGAAACTGATCCTGCGGAACTGCAAAGTGTTAAGTCCTTTATCAAAGAACAAAATGAAGATGTTGCTGATGGTAATGATGAATCGGAAACCGAGCAGAAAAAGCTTAAAAAACTTAAGAGGGGAGTAGCTGCCTTGGTGGTTGACGAAGGGCCTGAGCCAAAGAAAGTTAAAACAGAAGATGAAGATTCAACAGCAAATGAAACTGGCGAAACTACAAATGATGAGATCGAAGTTCAACAGCAAGACAATGAAGATGGGAGTACAAAAAAGAAACGCCGTAAAAAGAAAAAGAAAACAAAAAATTTAGAAAAACGCCGGAAGGATACTGACTTAAATACAGACGCATCATTTTATGAATTAAAAATTCTACCGAAATGCGATTGGAAGCGCTTGCGTAATAAATATTTAAATTTGCAGCGGGAGAAGGTTGCCGAGTTAAAACGCAAAGCCTGGAAGGAAAGACAGCAGCAACATCAACAGGCTAGTAAGGGCATGTGTTCGGAAGCTATGGACACCTCTGCACCTCTACCAACCAAAAAGCAAAAGCCTAAAGAGCGCAAACTACGCAAAATGAATATGAATTTTTATGGCGCTGGTGAGGAGGAAACAAAACCACAACCGAAAGAGATAAAGCAAAATCCAGCCTTAGAACGTGCGCCCCTCTTCAGTTATTCAGAAGGCCTAATTGTTGAGGTTGGTTTCTTAAATCCTTGTGTTAACGTAAAAGAATTTAAGGCTGATATGCGTCAGTACGAAACTGTAAAGTATGTTGACGTTAAGGAAGGCGCCATTAATGCACATCTACGATTGGACTCCGCAAAGGCAGCAACTGATTTTGTAAATCAAGTGAATTGTGCCGAATACAAATGCAAAGTGCTTAGTGGCGAGGTTGAGTTAGAGTATTGGAAGAAGATCGAAAAGGATCGTGAAATGAAGTTGAATAAACAAGTAAAGGTGCCTCAAAGAAGGGGCAGGGAGAAGGTTAAAAAGTTGATAACAAAGCACATTCGTTTCGGGGAGGAAGAAGAATAATACATCTATGTTATGTTATAAAATGAAAATTTATTTGAATAAAATGAAGCACTACTCTCATGAAAAACATATGCACTTACATTTGCTTTTATTTATTACAGTCTGTTTCCTAAATTTGATGATGTTTTATTAACCTAAATCTACTATTAATACTAAATATATAATGAACCATCAGCCGGTCCTAAGTAATGTAACGAAATTAACAGCACATCTATAATTGTCCAAACACCTAAACCACCAAAACTAAATAATTTGCCTATTCCTTCCTGCCAGTGGCCAAGATAGAAACGGTCTGCGCCAAATCCTCCCAATGTAATACTAATTATAAGTGCGGTACTCCATCGATAGCCTTGCGTCCAATTGCATACAACATTCCGCGTAAATGAGCGATTACCAAGGCAAAAAACATCCGGATTTACCGTGCAATTGGTACGATAGAAACTGCCACTTGATGCATGACAATTACTGCGATATGCACACGTCTGCTGCCATTTCTCCGTTTGATAACAGTAACGGCAATTCATTTGTTGTGTGAACGTTCGATTACCCAGACATTGTACATGATCCAGTGCCCCACAAGTAACGTTAATATCTCGTCCGTAATGGCATGAATAATTATAATGGCAGCGAATGCAGGAATGTGGTAATGTTGAACACTCACTTTCTGGTCCAACTGGACAGGATACATTAGTGTCATTGATACTTTTGATTGTAAGTGGTATAGCATCGTTGCTGTTGGTGATATTTTTCGTTTGACCTTCCAACTTTGTTTCGGTTTCCATGAGATTACCACCAGCGGTCTGACTCTGTCGTATGCCACTTAATATGAAAATCATAATTAATGCTAAGGCGGAACGCATATTAATAACAATACAACGCCTTTGCAGCATTTTGAAAATTTGATTAAGGTACGATGTAATATAAAAGATTTGCACACACAACAATTCAATAAACAAATTGAAAACAGCTGTTAAACAAAACAAGAACAATGAACTGACACTTTGCGTGAGTGCAGAGATGACTTTTGAAAAATTTGAAATAATATTTATAAATTATCCATATTTTTATAAGATTTGTGTATCTTGTATAATACGCCTTACTTCGTTACTACTAAAGGTTACTAGTTATAAAAACTCTAATCTCAACGCGCATAATGATAGTAAATTAAATTTAAAGCGTATGTGTCACCCTATTATTAATTCGTCCACTTTTTATTTACTGATAGAAAATATACAATATGGCATTACATCCTTTTCCGGCTGTGACTACACTTATTTCGATTATAGCTAAAATATTTCGGGTATAATTACATAGTGAATACTTATAAATTTACAACTTACCTACTCCTAAAGAAAATATATATTTGCGAAATTTTATGTCAGCTGGCTTGGTTGCCAAATCAGCTGTTTAATGTTTACATTTACGTAAACAACGAATTAACTGTATCTTCCCGTTTTCTCCAAAATATTCGGTAAAAGTAATTAAAATGGTAAAAGTGGATGTCGAATATTGGTAAATATAAAAATTCAATATACATACATATATATAAAAATATAACGTAAATGCATGCACATTCTTCTCTACATTAGTCCAAAATGCAATTTCGAGTGGCAATGCAAAATGTTGCAAAATTTTCTGCTGCAACAGCAACCAGATACGGAAGTAGTATGCTTCAAGGGTCGACAGGGCTCTTTTGAAGTAAAGATAGAAGACAATTTGGTACATTCCAAATTACAGTCATTCGCCTTTCCCAATCATGAAAGTGTTTTGGAAAATGTGCGCCGAGCAGAAAAAGGTCTACCAGTTGAAAAAGTGAAAGAACAACCAATTGATAATTGTATATTAATGTGATCAATAACCAAAGTAGCTTTTTAACACCACTTGCACAGAAAAAAGGAAGATTTTCAAAATAATTTGGCATACAAAACGAGCAACTTTGCATTGGAATGGCATAAAACTGAAGGATAAGCATTATGGAAGCTGTCTAATATAAAAATAAAATTTTAAGTCAAATAAGCAAGGCATTTCGGAAAATATAAAAATTTAAATATTTATTTATTTAGACATCGATTGTAAACAAGAAAAAAAACGAAAACTAGCACCACCATGGGAAAAAATATACAAGTTCAAGTTGAACATTGGTTGGTACATACATAATTGAAAATTACATTACTGCTCTTTATAAATGCAGTTAATTATTATTTAGTGGTTTATGCGCTGCACATGCACGTCAATGCAGAACTCTGCAAAAGTACATAATGAAAGAACAGCCAGATACGGATTTAGTTTGTCTCGCAGGTCGGCGTGGATCATTTGAGGTTGTCATAAATGGGATGTTGGTACATTCGAAGCTAAAAACGCAGGCCTTTCCATCACAGGGTGATATATTACAACAAGTTATAAATGTACGTGCAGGTCTACCACCGAATTATGTGAAACCAGAAAGTGCTTGCTCGTTAATGTAAAATAACGATATTTTGTATGTACATATAAATAATATTAATACACACATATGTAGTGAACTTACTTTAGTAAATATTTTATTTTTAGTTTTTGCAAAATTTGTGACGCATATACATATTTATTTGTGAATATAATTTAAACAAAAAAATTACTTATACAAATTTTGTATGTTAAAGCACCACTGTTATGGTCTAATACGTTTACTGGCATATTTTTGTATACGATTCTAAGCATAAATTATAAATGCAGGATTTTATTTGTTATCCTAATACATACATATACATATATTATGTAGTTGATATGCATTTGTTGTTTATCTGCCATCCTTACTTTTCATTGTTCTACACTGTGTTCTTCTTGCTTCTTAATGCGCACCTCTTCGCTACAGGAAACAAGTGTATTTTCCGCTGGTTGTTCCTTAAGGGACAAATATATACCAAAACGAATTTTGCCACCGAATTCACGTGCTATTGTGCGTAACGGTTCATTTGTTTTTTGACCACTGTGCTGATCAATACAAACCATTTGGCATCGAGTACAAAATCCCTCCATTTTAAAGTTCACACCACCAATACTGATTTCTTCGAATGAATTTTCTTCAAACGCGCTTGCAGTTTCGAGTATTAGATTTCCTCTAAACCGATCAACTGTCTGATCGAGTGGCTCTTTTTCCGTTTCCACTTTATTCGCTAACCAACGCACCGACGCACGATTCACTAGTAAGAATTGTGCTTGATTAGCTAGGCTTATGTCTTTTGAGACACCATCTTGTGTACGTCGCTCAGCATTTTGACGCACTAAACGCAAACCACTTGCTTCCAAACAATCCGATAACCACTGTCCTACCGCCTCGCCGCAGTCTAAACCCTCCACCAAATCATTGCACACCTTGCTTTGGCAGAAGGAGGAGTCTATGCGTTTTGCTCTACTCACATCATCAATTTCTAACGGCACTTGTGCGGGTTTCATTTCGGGAAAGCGTAGTTCTAATATTCCCTCCTCAAGTTTCACAACCGGTCTAATTAGGCACAATCTTGTGAAGTGCTTCTGAGTAATCGCCATACCATTGACGTCGACAATCATCCACGCACGATCGTATTTAAAACCACTGCTTGTCAGTTGCCACGCGCTCGTCACCTCAAAGGCGCCACATGACTTTATAGGATAAATACATATGCGTTTCAGCTGTGGCTTCAAGCGCTGCGATACATGTCGCAGCCTTTCGGGTAGCTCTGCGCGCTCCATTATACGCAAACGTTCAGCTGCTGTGGTTAGATAACAGTCACGTATCATTGCCACCGCTTTGTCCACATCCGACGCACGTGTCATGTAGCCGAAGGACATGCGTACCGCACCAGTGGGCAAACCATCAACCAAATCGGTGAAGTCACTGCAGACATGACCCGCTTCGAACTGTTTGCGTATATCGGCATTCGATAAGCCTAAGAACCATTGACAGGCACCAGGATTGCAGAAACAACCCGTGCGTAGTTGTACATTATGCACAGCAGCGATGCAGGCAACTTCCGCAAAACCCACATAAGAGCCATCATCGTGCAACACGTTGAAGGTGACGACACCACCTTGCAGCGCGACATCATCGTACCCATCGTAGTTGTAGAACTCTATAAGCGGTGCGCCATTGGTGTGATGCAGCGCGGCGAGCGAGTCATGACAGTACTTGGCCAACTGGTGGACATGTGCACTAATACGCTGCACGGACTTCAGCTGTAACGTGGGAGGCACTAGACGCTCCAACGTGCGAAAGCCCTCAAGTAGCGAAGTGATTGTAAGAAAGGGTAAAGTGCCATCTTCGAAACGTGTAGAGAACTGAGCGCGCTTCTCATGAAAATCCAGTCGTGTCATTGCTATATTGATGGTGCCGCCACCGTAAAAGCGTTTATTCAGCACGGCTTGACCACGTTTGCTAACCAGCAATGCGCCAACCCCGGAGGGAAAACTATTTAGAGGGTCAAAAGAGCATTAAATCAAATTGAGCGTGTGTGTGTGTGTGTGTGTGTGTGGGTGAGTCTAATTTCCCTACCTCAACACTTACCCGAACATTTTATAAAATGAAATACAGCAAAAGTCTGGCTTATACCGGCGTAGATCCAGAAAATTGGAGGCAACGTAGGATGCTGTATCCAGGCATATGTAAAAATTGCTATCCTTACACGCATCTTCGCCATCTTCCTCACCCCTAATCTGTGTGCCTAGCACTAACAAACCATTCTTCTGTATGGCTTCGATGGTTTCCAGTGGCATTTTATAGCCACTGAAATTGCATTGCGCCGAAAAGACCACAAGCGAATTACATTTTCGTGTGTCTCCTTCACCAACACTCCCTTGGCCGTTAATACCATGTTCACTAATACCGTTAGTGGTATTATAAAGATTTTTCAAAATTTCATCTTTCGTTAGAACATAAAGCCTATTTGTGCGTACCACTTCACGCATTCCCAAAACGGACGTGTGATTCTCTTGGCAGTAGTAGAAAGCACCGGAGTTATTTTCGTCTTCGCCGAAACTGAAACATTCGCCGACAAGCTTTAATGCTGCCGTAGCATTAGCTGTAAAGACCACTGCATATTCCGTAGCGTCTGTGTTGAAGTGCTGCAGTATACTGCAATGGGATTGCTTGAGTACTTCAATACATGCCCAGTATACCCATTCATACATACCGATAGCGTGCTTGGTCTATGATATCACCGGTTACCTTGCATGTGTGCGGGTTGCAGAATAAATTCTCTTTGAGCACCTGGCCTGCAGCATCGACCAAGCTCTCCGGATATAGAGTAGTGCCAGCATGATCCAAATATATATTGTCTGTAAAAAAAAAAAGTACAATTATATATGAGTTGTTTCTGTAGAAATAACGAGACTTGAGGAATGAACGAAAATGGCTGAACTTCATTGTCCACCTAGACTAGTCGATGCACTAGGAACATCTAAAAATCAAGCAATTTTCAACACTTGGAAGACTCGTTAAGTTAGAGGCTGACTGCTGGAGGACTTGAGTTTTCTCAAGAAGGAAACTAATGCTAGTACTCAAGTTCTTCTATATAACTTTATGAAGATTCTGTCCTTTGAATGCAAGAAATAAGCTTATAATGATCGGTAAGGAAGCTTAGGATGCTGCAGCCTAAGTCCTCCTAAAAGTATATTAACTTTCTCCTCCAAAATGGTATAGTAAAAAGGTCTGTGATAGCGAAAAACGTTGACTTTTGCCCAGGTATAACGCAAACAAGCTTGACTTGACCTTAAGTCCATTCGACTAGTTCATAAAGAAGCTGTCGTAGACTTCAAAGTTTCTTTGAGGTTTAAATCATACGCTTAAGCTCGATGAAGACCTTACGTGTACTGAAGCCAGAGTTCAGCAATTCCTGTAATTATGAGGATTTCTTGATATTTCCGATGATGCCAAGCCTCATCATGAACGTGAGGATTTCGAAAAATACCTTAAGGTACCTCAGGCTCATTAAAATACGCCCCGCTGTTGAGTATTCTGTTTCTGTAAATTTTACTTTCTTTATTCTATTATTTTTCTCTAGTACTCAACTACAGTCTTTTTCGGGTTGGGAGATATCAGCAGAGAAAATGAAAAAGGAATAGCTTCGGAGTATCCTTCGTTCCATTGTCCTCAATTGTCAATCCCTCTTGTCTATTCAGGCAGTGTCAACTGCGGAGATGCCGTTCCATAGTTGCTTTATATAAAAATAACCAGGGCTCAAGACTGTCAGTGTACCAAATTTTATGTATGTAAATAAACTCGATTTTTTCGTATAGACCGGTTGCGTGAAATTCCAGGAATATAATTTCTTATCGTCATATGCAGAACACATCCTCAGAGTTTCAGATCTTTACGACCATTTTTGAAGAGCGAAAAGCTCCCACGGCAAAACTTCAACTCCACATCATATCGGAAACGTCAAGCTGCTTTCCAGAAATTTCATACCCTTAAGGATGAAAATACCTTCACTTACTCCAATGATATTTCACCGAAGACCTGCATTTGAACAGATAGTGTGAAGAAAATATGGACGAAAATATGCCAATAAAATTTTTGTACTGACCCTGATCCGGATGATGTTCCTGAGTCATAATAGGTATAAAATAGTTATGCTTAGCACACGCAACACAATCATTCCGTTTCCCTAACAGGAAAAAGTAACTCAACGAAATATATCCGTTAACGTTAATTTTAAAATTGCTGCTTGCTGTCATTTAACAGCACACCTCAATGTTAAAGTTTAACATTACCTGTTAAAGATTCAACATAAACGACAACTTTTCAATTCGGGTAAAAACGAAAAGAAATTTATTTTAACTATTTTGACATTTATATTTCCAAATGTTTCAATCGAAACGTCAGACATTTTCCGATAAACGTAACATTTTCGTCGCGATGCATCCTTAAGCCTGTTTTACATTTTTTCCGTTAATTCAATACTAACAACTTTCCTTCTGATACTAAAACAATATTTCGTATGGTTAAGAAAATGCTAAAAATGCACTTCGTTCAAAAAACGAACGAGCTAAGAATGCAAAACGAATGACACAGAAATTCAAGATTTGGCGTCTATGTACATTCAACTTCCGATCACGAAAATCTGGTTGGAAATTCAGTGTTGCATCGTGTATTTAATTTGATAGGGTCGTGAAAGGTATAAAGACTATTGCAAGAGGGTATTTTTTCTTGTTTTCAATTGAAATTGCAATTTTGTTTATTCGCATGGAGTGCTATTTTAGTAGATAACAGTAAATATTAATGATTGTACTTATTTATTTATTATTTTTTTTATGGAAGAAGTACATACATACAGACATGACGTGGTCTATTGAAAGCTTTCAGCCATTCATACAATCATTCATCATTAATTACTTAGTATTTATTATGAATTTTTGTTTGTACATATATACATATGTAAATAAGTAAAATTATAAGTTCTGTTCGGTGACTAGATGGGCAGTACAATTTCTACTGAATTTTGCTAAATTGTGTTCGTTGAGCCAAAACCGAGTAAAATTGGTAACGGGCGAACGCCATTTTGACGTTTAGTTATGAGAGGAAGTTGCAAATTTGTGATCATGTGGTTGAATTTTTGCCAAAAAATCAAAATTGATTTAAAATTAAAATAATTTTAATTCTTTAATATGAAATATATGCCAGCAAAATAAGTGGTTATAATTAAATGTAATTTTGTTGAATTTAGCTGAACAATATCAATGATTGCAACCATAGTAAAGGCACTCCTTAAACTTCAATAGAATATGGTGGCAGTGGAGTGGAATGGAATTATCGCCCGCACATCACCCAACTTCCGTTAATACATTAGAAGTTAGGAAGGCATAAAATTAAAATATAATACAACGCTTGATTTTGGATTTATATAATTTACCAGAAAGCAGTGGCGACCAAAGGAGCCGCATAACAAATTCGAAGCAAAGCTGCTGCTGTGGCCACAATGAAGCATTGCAACAGCGATGTAGAAAATGACATAAAATATATAATATATAATTGGCGCTGAAGCGATTTTCCTCCTCTAATTTGTGGTTTTGCGTCTTGTTGTTTTCTGGGATCTACAGTTTATACTAAGCCGCCTCCGAACGGCTGATGGTATTTTTATGAGGAGCTTTATTTCATCTCCGAAATACTCGGACATTTTAGTAATATTTAAAAGATGAAAAAATCCTTTTTTTAAGTTTTATTTAAACAGAATCGATGAAACTGTGTAATAATGCAGTTAATATTGCGAGTTTATACGGACTTCAAAACAATTCCAAACTTATTCCCAAAATTCTAAAATCCAAGCGACAAATTGTTGTAAAGCAAGTTTTCTATAAATCTTCGACCTTTTCGGGGACTATTAGAATATACATATTGGTATCTTTGGACGGCTATAAAGCACATAGAAATTTATCACTTTTGAATTACACTAAATTTTGAATAAATAAAAATTGCCTTATACAATAATTGCCAATTTTATTAAAATTCTTAGGAAAATACTTAAAAGCGATAAAAATTTATTAACGAATTCAAATTTAACCACCGCCAAAATAAGCAGCTGTTCTACAACTCACAAGCTAATTTTGAATGAATCTTGTTCGGTGAAAGCTTAATAAATTTACTCTCTTAATTTCGCTTATTTTTACTGACATTTTTCAACGAACACAGCTATAAACGTAAAGTTGTTGGAGTTGGTATATTTTTAAAAACAAATGCACTTAATGATTTACGAGGTGTGTTCAAAAAATCTGTCACTTATGCTGACAAGCTCGGCCATTTTGAATGTTCACTTAATTGTTGACAGCTGCTTTGCTTGCACGTGTTTTGGATGGTCTTCGATTTTTTACCTATACAAAAAAAATGGATCAAATAACCTGCATCAAATTTTGTGGAAAAGGTGGTGCATCATGAGTTCTTGCCACAGGGTAGACGGTCAATAAGGAATATTACCTGCAAGTTATATGCAATTTGCGCGAAACAATCCGCCAGAAACGCCCGAATTTGTGGAAGAACAAAAATTGGCTTTTGCACCACGATAACGCCCCTGTTCAAACATCGTTGCTTGTACTCGACTTTTTGGCCAAAAGCAACACACTAATGATGCCGCAGCCACCGTATTCCCCAGATCTGGCCCCCGTTGACTTTTTCTTGTTCCCGTAACTGAAGAGGCGCATGAAAGGACGACGTTACGCTACGATTGACGAGATAAAGACGGTATCGAAGGAGGAGCTGAACAAGATAAAAAAAAAAATGATTTTTTGAAGTGCTTCGAAGATTGGAAAAACCGTTGGCACAAGTGTATAATATCTCATGGGGATTACTTTGAAGGGAACAAAATAGATATTCATGAATAAACAAATAATTTTTGAGAAAACACAAAATTCGCGATATTTTTTGAACACATCTCGTATGTGTCTAACATACGTACATACGAACAGAAATACAATATTACATAGTTCTAATTAAGATAAACATGACATTGCGTATTTTTCCTTCTTATCTACGGACACTTAGTGGTATTTATTTATTGCCCTGGTAATTGAAAATGTATTTCACAATAAATTATTTAAGACATTATTTTGTTCACATAGTGCTAGTACTACTTTATAGCACCATTAAAATCTCTAATATTCCAACACATCATTGTTTGTTGATTTCAATTCACTTTTGACTGAGTAAACCCGGTAACTTGCCTTTCATACGCCGAAACTCGCTCTGTATCGCCTCCGCCTCAGCGCGTGTAAACTCATTCTGAAACTTAATCATAATACACACACTCGAAAGTAACAGGCAACTTTATTATTTAAAACTATATTTTAGCACAATTTTATATTTATTTAGTGAAATTGTTTATTTATTTATTTATTTTTATATGTCACGCTATCTATTCACAAACAGCAAATGCTGTCATTTCGTGTTATTTGTTGATTTGTTTTACTTGAAGCGCACTGCTCCCGCTTATGGTAAAGCAACCGGTTCTAACAAAAACTGAAACATAACTAAACCAAACACATTCATTTAAAAGAGCACTCGCTTCTAAGGGAAAGCACATATGCGGTCATACATACAAACTTCATTCTTTGGCGCAATTAGCCGCTGGTAGCTGAGTGTGAAAACGTTTCTGTTAGGTGGAATGTGCTCAGAGATGTTGGTGTTCTTGATAGTGCTCTGCAGCAGTGCCGTGTCATATCTGTTTTTGGTTTGGGGCTTTGGGTTCTCGCAATGAGGTTATTGGCAGCGTTCGACTGGTCGATATCGGCGTAAATTCAACTGTTAATTTTTTACACGTGTGGAAGCAGGGTTTGGCGCGTTCTGGTATGAAAAGTTCCAAAACTTTGAGTCTTCGAAACAAGACTGAAAAAATGCAATGCCCATAGGTATGTAAAGTCTTCACGGCCTTGTCCGCGCGAAGCATATACTCTCATACTGTGTACCGAGAATTTATTTTTAAATTCGAAAAAACTGCATTAATTTTTCCAATTCAATTTGAACCCCATCAAAGTTATCCACAGAACCCATGCCGATCACGTTGAATCTCTTCAACCGGCCCAAAACGGTGTCCTTGGAGTAGTACTTTGTATTGGGTGAATAGCCAGAAGTTGCACGGAACTAAATCAGAGGAGTCCGCTGCTTGTGAGTCGAGTTTTTGGTGAAATAGTCACGCCGAATGTGGACAGTGCGCGGATCACGATTTCGCTATTCAGATTCTGAAATTTGTACTGAAAATTGATTTCATTGATACTTTCGATATTCTAACAAGGTCAGTAAAGTCGCGGACTGTTGATCGACAGTTTAGTAGCATTATTTTTTTGATTTTGTGTCTCGACTTCAACGCTTTCTCGACCTTCTTTGAAAATTTTGAGAAAACCTTCAGGATTCGAGCCATTGGCCTTCGTTATATTGTTGTTGTTGTAGAGGTCTAGGAAAGGAGTTGTTTCGACGGGTTCGGATCGGAGGGAGGTGTAAGATACGTCGGTTTCAAAGATCATATATAGAGGTGGTTAGTTTCGTGCGGAGACTCACTACATGCATGATATACGTTGGGTATGTTGGGGTCGAGCCTGTACAAGTAGGAGTTTAACCTGCAGCAATATCGAGATGTAAGTTGCGACAGTATTATTCGGGTCTCTCGAGGTAGCTCGAGCTCCTTCTTTGCTGTAGGTGGTGATTTTACTCCGACTACGCCATTCATAGGAATCTTTGAAGGTGTTGACTGACTCCTGTTGAATGGCTTTTAGTGCTTGTCCCTTTCTGATGTGCCTGTGTGAAAGTTCAACCTCAATAAATGCCCATTGAGGTATTTCCTGGGGTTATCGACCGGCCGGCTTTTAACCAGGTGCTACCGACTAGCGCTTTAAGTATTTTGTGCGACTCTGGAGTTTTGCGACAATTGCAGTCGTATACAGAGTGAATGCCTCGTCGTGGTAGCTGCTAACCACTCGACTGGTTGGAGCTTAAAATATGCTACAAAGTTTCAGCAACCTTGTTTGTTAAAATAATGGAGGCTTAAAATTTTGTGAAGGAATCCAAATGGCGGTCGACATATAAAAATAATAAAATAAAATAAATTTTTCTAATAGAAACTAAATAACAAGGAGATCAATAAGGACCAAGTTTATTGTCTTAGACACCAATTGGGATGAGGGGAACGCGAGTTTTTCAGTCGATTTCAGCGAAAACCACATTTTGCTACGAAAACATGTTTTTGATGTCGATCCGAACAAAATACAAATATGTCAACTAATTTTGACAATACAGTATGCTTACATCAGAGAACGTCAAATAACGAGAAGGACCGATTGCGGATAGCTAGCGGTGAAACAGTCTCTTACTAATATCGTATTGTTACGATTTTACTACATCAACCTCGATGAATCCTTCGGGTACGATCTCTGGATTGTTAAATAAAACTCGCTAACTTAATTTGCAGTTTCTTTCGTTATAAAGATTCTATCTAATGTCCTTTTATTTACTCAGTGATTCACAATTCAATTACAAGACACTTTACTAGCTACAATCACTTGCATCAACTTTCACAATTTACTCTACTTAAATGTAATTCCCAACGCGTTCACTTTACGACTTAACTGATGTTAACGCCAACGAGCTTACTTTGTAACTAACTTAACTTGGCAGCTGAGTGTCCCCTTATATAGCAGTCGGCTGCTCGCAGACGAAAGCGTAGAAGCATCGATTTGTTGGCTATCGAAGGTTCTTGTTCTATCGTTTCTAGAATGTACTAGTTATCGGCTTCTCTCTTTCATCTGACATTCGCCTCGCATTTTCCCAACAGTATAGAGTTGAATTAGTCTCTTGCAAATCCTGTAAGTTGAACAAATGGCAATCGGCACGAGAAGTACCAGCTCTTTAATACACGTTCCCTGCTTAGATGACTAACAGCAGCGTAAGTGAATAGTTTATATCGATATAATCCGTATTTTGAAAAACTTATCGATCAATTCACAATTATCAGTCGCATTCCTATTTGATTTAACAAAATTTGTGAAATTTTTGTGTTATAAATATAAGTATTTTCCAAATAAATAATAAGTAAAAAATGGAAAAATGGATACGTGAACGTTTGAAGAATTGTCTGGAGTTCGAAGTCCCAGATGATATGGTCAAGTAAGTGAAGTTTGCCAACCACTTCGATCATATGCCTTTCTCATATGTAAATATTTTCCATATTCACTTCATCTAAACAGGTATATTTTGTCACTGAAATCCTCGACCGAATTTGATGAATACTTTGAAACCTTGCTCAATCCAGAGTGTGAAGATCATCGTTCATTTATGGCTGATTGTAAGCAACGTATGTTTAGCAAACCACTACCCAATAAGCGTTCACCACAGCCAAATAACCAACAACAAAAACAATCCAAACCGGGTCAGGCTGTCGCACAAGGTAAACAAAATCAAAACGCCACGACTGTGGATGGTAAATTTGGTAAGCAGCCACAACAACAGCAACCATCGCAAGGTGCTAAGAAAAAGTCAAAATATGTCAGTTTGTATACCAGCGATGGCAGTGTTAGTGGGGATGTAATAATGATGAAAGGTCGTCGACTCTGTGACTGTCAGGCTTCACAACATAAACTCATCAATAACTGTCTCAGTTGTGGACGGATAGTTTGTGAGCAGGAAGGTAGCGGGCCTTGCCTATTTTGTGGTGAAATTGTTTGCACCAATGAAGAAATGCAATTAATGAAGAGTGATTCCAAAAAGGGTCAGAACTTATTGAAATCATTGAAGGAAAAAGGTGGCGGCGAGGCATTGAAAAAGGCGCTCGAGCAGCGTGATCGCTTATTGGAATATGATCGAAATAGTGAGAAACGTACCACGGTTATTGATGATGAGTTTGATTATTTTGAGGTGAGATACTTTTTTTAAATTCTTTTTATTTAAAATACAAAATTTGCAATGTGCTTTACAGGAGAATTCAGTGTGGCTGTCTGATGCTGAGCGTGCTAAATACGAACGACTAAAGCAGGAAATGCATGAAAAGAAACATGAGAGTCGCATTAAACGTAAAATAAAGATAGACTTTGCCGGTCGAGAAGTGGAGGATGAACCGCAAATTACCTCCGAATATGAAAATCGTGTACTTAAGGAAATTGCCGCAGCAAAGGCAGCTGCTGGTGACAAAAATAATTGGTCTAATCGCAAAAATTTGCAAAAAATTACACCAGACACATGTGGCACAGATCCAAATATGGATGATAAACATCGACCGATTTATAACATAACTGCTGGTGGTAAAACGCTAGCCGTTGATCAGCATATTAATCGAAGTATTTCAGCGTGCTCATATAATCGTGTACAGGATAAAGAGTTGTTAGAAATGCAAGATATGCGTAATTGTCTCTCGATGCATCAACCATGGGCATCACTGTTAGTAGCAGGCATTAAAAAGTATGTAAACAGTTAATTAAAGATAATTGTAGTAATTTAAATGTACAATTTAGGCATGAAGGACGTTCCTGGTATAGTGAACACCGCGGCCGTTTATGGATAGCATCCACTGTTAAGGAGCCACATCCTGAGGAGATTGAAGAGTTGAAAAATTTCTACAAGACACATTATAATGATCCTGACATTAAGTTTCCAGAGCATTATCCAACTGGATGTTTGCTGGGCTGTGTACGTGTAGATGATTGCCTGGCGCAAGAGGAATATCGCGAAATGTACCCAAATGGTGAATCTGAGAGTCCCTATGTCTTCGTATGTTCTAGTCCAGAGCTATTGCCAGTTGTATTCCCTATCAAGGGACAGCACAAAATATGTAAGTTTTTTTTTTTTATTTTATAATTTAATATCAAACAATAATCAACTAAATCTAAATTTTAGATCAAATCGATCCGAAGTTGCACAACACAGCTTGTAAAACATTGCTTCGTTTGAGGTATACAAAAACTTAATTACAAGATTAAAAAATAATAAATATTTATGAAATATTACTTAAAGACAGTGCAAGCAATGCTGTTTGTGATATAACTTCTTTTATTAGAATTTATATCTTTTGCTGCACATACATATGTAAAAATAAATAAAAACGTGCAGTTGGGAAAAGCATAAAAAAATTTAGTTTACAGTAAATGTATTGAATACCATTTATTTTATATCGTAGTTTTTTAAAACGTTAAGAAATTCTTTCATATCGAGTTTTGTAAGCCTTTTTAGTTCATCAGCGGCCTCATCACCAGTTACCAAACTGTTGTTAGGACTATCTAAACTACCCATACACAGACCCAAGAGCTCATCCCAATAGAAGCACGTGTCACATACCAATAATTGAGTGTTTCGGACAAAAATTTTCAAAGAAGCATTTCGTCGCAGCATCTCGCGTCGTAATACCAAAAGCTTCTCTTTACGTTTCAACGATATTTGAGACATTTGCGACTCAATATAAATGCCGGTGTTTTTTAAACAGCTGCTCTTTCTAAATATTTGATTTACATCGAATTCATGCACAACATCAACAAGTAGAGTTTGCCTATCGTTATTTTGCCTGTTCCTATTGCCTATGACAGTAACACCTTCCAATTGCACATTCGGCATGCCGAAACGTTCTTTAAACAATTGCTCGACAACAGCTTTGGGTTGTTGATTCGCTGCAATTGGTAAGTTGTTTATTATTAATTTACGCTTACGCACAATCTTTTCAAGTACATGCAGTTCACGTTGTAAAATTTGTTTACTGCTTTCGGAATGAGACAAACGTTGACGCATAAGTTCAAGTTCTTTGTTTAGGGTTTCATATTTATCTTGTTCAATATTATCAACTCGGTCGTTATTCTCATTTTCATCGTCAGAAATTGATTCTGTTTCGACTGTAGAACATGGTGTTCCATGTCGAGAACGTACTTGGTTCAATATATTTGTAGTTACTTCACTCAATTCAGATTTCGTTGCAAAAGATTGTAGTTTCTCATCAAAGATTTTGCTTATTGCTTGAAGGGTTTTAGTTGACAAATTAATTTCAGTTGAACAAGCACTAATTGAACCTTTTTTATTATTTGGAGTCTCTATGGAATTTTCGGTAGTATCGTTTAAATCAGTATTTGAATTTGTTTGGGAGTTTTCGGTTGCTTCAGAATTCTCTTCATTTTCGACTGTTTCAGTGGCAGTGTGTGTAGTATTTCCGGATGTCGACTTTAAATATATATTAGCATCAAATAAACTTTGCTCAGCAGCATCTGTTGATGACTTGTTTGCCAACGAACTCATATCCGTGGTGCTCGTGACACTTTTCAAACCGTGATGTTTAAGCACTTTGTAATGTTCATACATTTTGTGTACCTCTGGATGGGAGCGTTTCATATGTTTGAGAAAGTTTGAGGATACATTTTTGTGTCCACGTAGCATTACTTGACATGATACACAACGTGCTGTGAAGGTATCTGTTTGGGTGTTACAGTCCTCTGGCTAGAAGTATCAAACATGAATATCATATCAAGAGGATAGCAATACAGTACGTAAGATAATAAAGATAATACAAATTCATACCACTTCGAAGAAAGGTGGTGAGAAGAGAACCGCACTTTCGCCCCGTCTATAACGTTTAGCTCCTTTAATCTCCTGTTGACCTGTTGTTGTATTCAGTGATTGTGCATATAAAGTTTGATTTGTTGGAGCTAAAAATCCAGTATTTTGTTGTTGAAATGGTTGATTTTGATTGTTTTGACAAAAACCACCATCACTTGTATTTCCATATTCACTATTATCACACAAATCATCGAAATGACGTTTCTGTCCAGGACCTGCTTGGACTGAACCGGTGGGTATTATATACATATCGTCACAGTTTTCATATTTAATTGTGGGCTCCATACTGTTATAAGACGAAATATTAGCTTGCTTTAACGCAAAAATAATAACAATTTAGCGGTCTCCTATCGATTTTACACAATAAATATTGTTGCACTGTTTATTGCTAAAAATGGCGATCTAGTAGTTGCCACAGTGCAGCTTATTGGAAAGAGCAAAAATATTTGTTGATTAGCTAGTGAATTTATGTTCCATTTGAAAAAAGTTAAAGTAGAAGTATCTATTCATTTGTATAACTAAATAGCATTTTCAAATTTTTATTTTGAGATGTTTATTTTTCAATGTTGTTGTTTTAACCGCAAAATTATTCCCCAAGGTACTTTTTGGGGAATGTTGCGGGAGTGACAGTCCTTGGCCAGATAAAAATCCGGTCGTTCCGGTATAAAGACCCGACTGTCACGGAAACTATTGGATTTTAGTCGCCTCTTACGACGGTATGCCTTACCGCGGGTAAATTCTTGAGCCCCAACCCGCAGGGAGTTTTATTTTTCAATTCTTTATAATTTTTAATTTTTTCCTCTAATATGCAACTCTGCGCAATGAAAATATAAATGTTCGAAAACAACACGGATGAAAATAAAGGTGAATAGGTGTAAACGATAAACAAAATCAAGAAGGAAGCAAATAATCTTACAGAAATAAAGAATTCACTGACATTTTCGCAGCATCTTAAAATTCGATTTGGAAAGTTTAATTTTGTATTATTCTTAAGGCATTGACCAAAGAAATTTTATATCTGCGATAATTACATGCTTTTTGAACGGAAATTGTAAAAGCATAAATGAATTTTGATTCATATTCTTAAAAGCTTTAAATTTGTTGGATTGAATGTGCAGGGATTCCTAGAATAACTCCAAATATAACCAAGGATTTCATTGGAATGTATAAATGAGGATTAAGTGCACCAGATTCTAATTTGTTTTGTGTAAGTACATACTTTTCTGCAAGAATAAATAACATTAATAACATAAAAACAAAACAAGCGTCACCGCCAATACTGCCTGTCCACTATCAACAACAACCGAAAGAGTTAATGTAATTACAATAGCACGCTTATAATACAAAATGAAAACAAAAAGCAGCGACTAATTTATAATACAAATGACTGTAAATATCTAAAAAAAATTGGATAATTTTGTGTTACTACTTGTAATTTGCGCTCCCAGCCCAGCTTAGTGCAGTCATCATACTTTTTGCTCTCTGTTAACTAAAACTCGTCCCCTATGTGCCAACTTTGGCCAAATAGTGGCGCTTGGTATTCTCTGACATTTGGAGCTGTCATACTGACAAAGTTATTATATACAGACAGTCGTGCGCGGTAGGTGATTGCTTGTGCATTTGTGGATACGCTTCTCGCCAACATAATTTTCACTATTGTTTCTTGTGCTGTTTATTAAATGTGTTGTGTGTTTTAAAAGTAATTTTTTAAAATAAGAGAAAGTAAATATAATTTATATATAGCACGATATCAGTACAAAAGAAAAGCATTTGCGAATAATAGCAAACCAAGGTAAAACACGTAAGTGCTACTCGTGGCTTAGTGAGCGAAAAAATGATGTTTTAGTGGGAGTCAACTTGGCTGTTTGACAAAGCAAGAATACAAAGTGAAAGTGTTTGTTTAAGCGTATGCAAAAAGTTAAAAAAATTAACGAAAACGAAAAGCTTTTGCGTTACAAAAAAACTAATTGTTTAGTTTATTGAAATCCCACCGTCCAGTGAACATTTGGTCTTCCTTCCTACCCGCTTTTGTTGTGATCAACTGTGAATTGTGCAATAAAAATTGTACTATAACCTATATCACCCCTTTTAAACAGTACTTAATTTTTAGCCACAATTAGAATCAAAAATCTACAATAAAAAAATTAAAAATAAAAACAAACTAACGTCCTTTAATTAATATAACACAAGCTTAACAAAATGTATCGCATTGGGCCAATTAGTCGGAAATCGAATTTTCACTTACGTGAAAAATTCCTTATCGTCTTGGTTTTGTTGACTCTATGCCTGCTATGCTTTGGTGGCATATTTCTGCTACCGGATAACTTAGGCGGTGACCGTGTATTGCGTGTTTACAAGCATTTCCAAAAAGCCGGTCCCGAAATGTTCATACCAGCACCACCACTCGCCGCTCATGCACCAAAGGACGCCGATCCACACTTTATCGGCGACCGTCAAAAGTTACAGGCGAAAATCAAAGAAGAATTGGGTGAAATATTAGACAAACCAATGTTGCAACAACGCCAACCCGATGCTGGTTATGATGGTGAGGAAATGGGCGTAGGCGATGATGGCCAGCAACAGCAACAAGGTGTGGCGCCACCGCTAAATGGTGAAGGACCACCACCAGAAATAGTAGGCACAGCCGGTAAAGGACAACACGCCAACAACGAAGACGCTGCAGCACGTATGGAAAATAATAATTTACCCGTGGGAAAAATTGCCGGTTTACAAATTAATCCAAATGCAAATGCCGATCCTGATCCCAAAGTAGAGGAGAAGCGTCAGAAAGTTAAAGAGGTAAGTAGGTAAATTCAATAAATAGTAATAAAACAATTAAATACGATATGTGTCGTATTGAATCAGTGCGTGTTATCAGCTATTGTCATACTTAAGTACCGCGTAGTACTTCAAATGGTTATTCTTAACGCTTTGCTACTGATAAGCTACGACCTTGTTGTGTAAATTCTACTAGCGGACGTATGCACGAATGTACATATGTACAAATATTATGAGTGGTTACACTAGGGCATGCATATATTCATACGTGTATGTGCGATTAGCGTACGCATTTCAAATGAATAAATATGTTCATAGAAACTGCTTTTAATTGCTGATGTTGTTGTGAAAAAGAGTTTCGTTAGCCGTAAGAATGGGTCTTCCATGACATTGATTACTCCTCAAAATGCTAATTCGTTTGGTGTTGTGTAAATATGTATTGTTTTTTTTTTCAACAATAATGTTAATATTTTTTATTAATTAATTTTTTTCGATAATTCATTTTTTTTAATAACCAATCTTTTTATTAAATATTATTATTTTTTTTTCTTATCGCTTCACTTTCTTATCGAATTCAGACCACTTAAAATTAAAGTTTATATGATGACAGTGCGTCTACACTTTCTAACTATAAAAATGATAATATTTCGCATTTCCATTAACATATATTTTGCAATTTTACTCATACCGAAGTCTAAATACATGCTAATTTCTGTGAAAAAGCAAAAATTTAAAAAAAAAATAAAAAAATAATTTGATCAGATTGATTTAGTTCACCGAAAATTTATTTTAAACTCTTATCGTTTGCGATTTACTTTCGCCGTACGAAATTAGACAGGTGCCGTTTCTACATAACTTAGGTACCATCGTCGTTATCTTTGTTTACTTTTTTTTTGCTTCAAACTTAACTATCTCCACATCTTTTTGCTTATTAATTTATGTATGTATGTAAATTGCTTATGTTAATTACTTGAGCGAGCGCTATTGTGTTGGGGCTACTACAGCCGCCGGGCATTTTGTTTGTTACCAAGTGATTAATTCACCCATCATCTGACTTACATACCTATGTAGCTTGTCTATTCGACCGCCTAAACAACCGACCGTCTTATTTACACACTACTGACCCACTTGATGACGCCGTGTCAGCAAAAACCACTTTTTTTCAACATTGCTTGTTATTCTTCCATTTTTTCCACTTTTGAAGGCGTTTTTAATTTGTTCTTTTCGTATTGCTATTTCTCATGCTACATATTTAGCATACGCTTAAAGTCTAATGACACACTCATGGAAATTTTTTGCTCTTGTGCTTTTTGTGTAGTGAGAGTGGTGAAGGAAAAAATTGTGTAGCGAATCTCTTGTGAATATGATGAGTCGTACGCTTTGCGCCACGTGAATAGTCACTTTGTGTGCAGCTCTTGCGTGAATTCCCGTTGTCCAAAAGATTAGTATTATTACGGTAATTTTTGCGACTTGTAACCTTCCAAGGCTCTTATTCCGTCTTATATCTGTTTGAAATCAAATCTCCGCTTTCTATTGACTTGTATATCGAACTCTGTTTTTGTGCGTCGAGTGATGACATTAATTTTCGAATATTACCCCTGTCGATCAGCTCTCTTTCTCTCTGCAAATGCGTCTACTACCCTCTTCAGCTCATATTCCACACGTGTTGTTGTCGAAGGCAAGGTATGCTGTGTTTTTTCTCTTTTCAGTAGTTCGGCATTCTTCCTCGTATTAGCAAATCTTCTACAACTTCCTTGTATAATATCAAGTTGTTGATGAATGCTCTCTCCGTGTTCCTTGCTTTAGAAATGTTTGCCCAAGGGTTTCGTCAAGGGGAATGAACTTGGTTCTCACAGAAAACATTTCTGGTCACTTCGTTCTTCTCTCCGGTTAGAACGTGGACTGTGGCGAGATGTGGCGAATAACAGTATTCAGCATCGGAGTCTTTCTCCCTCCCCAAATCCAATAATAAATTTGCGTATCTTTTTATAACCAATGTGACAGATGTAGCAAGACTATAAAGAACCCGAAGCTATTGGTAGTCACATTCGACAGCCTGGACTGCAATTGTCACGAAACTTTAGGTCGAAAACTATGCTACTTCGTCCTGGATGCCCTCAGGATCGCTACAGGAAACCTTAACTTACACAGCGATGTATCTATTACGCCCCTTGCTGTGCAAGAAGTTCTTGCTGGGATGCTTTTGTAAGGAGAACCCCATCAGGCACTTACTAGAAGCCGAACCACTAACCAGCCATATATCAGAAAGTGAGTACTCGACCTCGACCGGACCAAATTTAGCATCATCTACAATAACAGACATTGAATGCCATTCACCGAGGTTCACCTTCCTGAAGTTTCTTCCAGTTGATGTCATTGTCGTAGCCAAATCACCACTCAGTGTCGACTAAACTCCTACCTATCCAGACTTGAACCCGACATAACCAAAGTATGTCCTGCACTAACCACCTCTTTGCATGCCCTCTAAAACCAATTCATCTAACCGCCTCCTTTCGTTCTGAACCGTATTGGTTGAAACAGCTTGTTTCCTAGACTTCCCGTTGTTGTTGTTGTTGTTGTTGTAGCCACAAAAATATTTCCCAAAGTACTTTTTGGGGAATGTACCGGATAAAATTTCTGGTCGTTCCGGTATAAAGACCGCACTGTGGCGGAAACAATTGGATTTTAGTCGCCTCTTACGACCAGTATGCCTTACCGCGGGTAAATTCTTGAACCCCTAACCCGCAGGTGGTTAGACTTCCCGTTAGATGACCGCGATGACTTAGATCGATCTAGCCTGCTCCTAACCGTGGTTACCAAATTTCTATAAAAACAACTTCAACATGTTACATGAACCCAGCTTCTTCCGTATAAAAAATCGACTATCGTGGAAACTTTTGGATATGAATCTCCACTTACGTCAGCGTGTAAATTTTTGAAAACCAATCACTGAGATGTACACGTACCTCTTGCACCACGCTTATGCTAGCCTTATTTTTCAGAAGGATAGTTGCAACTGCCCAATCAAGGGACCGTACATTCCAAGTGCATGCTGTCAAATCCTGATACTTAAAACGTATACCGGGGGTCCCTTTCATGTGATGCGTTTCAAAGTCCACATACAAACACATGGGCTTTCGCATTGACTCCAAACGGATCTTTGATCTAAGGTCGGTAGTCGTAAGCTGCTAGTAAAATAATCGTTTTTTGCCACTCTCAGTCAAACCCATCTTATTATGTGCATTAAGTGAATTTAATTGGTACTATTTGAGTGATCCAGAGTGTCTATTTAACAAAATATTGCATGAATTTAATTACTGCCACTTCGTACGCGACGACATCCATGTGGTTGAACCTGAAATTGAGCTGATTTGTAGATTCTACATTACTTTTTTAAACTCTCGCCACTTCCACTACGCGTCTTTTACATAAGTACACACTCGTATGTACATATCTCATATCTCAAGAGGCATTCAAACTAGTATTATATAGCTATTTAATGTGCAGTCGCACTCATACCGCCACATACATACATACACGCTCACATGCGAGTTTTCATTCTGCTTTGTTTGTTTAGCTAATGTTTTGGCGCATTTGGGTAAATAACAGAAAACACAAACCAGAAATCCGAGCCTAAACTTGAATCTCATTCCATTGCGTTCTTCATTAATTATTATGTTTACTTTTCATTTCATTGTTTTTAACTGTATATAATTCGATTTCTTAACATTTCCTTCCTTTAAGTTTTGTATTTATTGCTCTTCAAATTATTTTCCCTTTTTTTTATTTATTTTTATTCCACGACACATAACCTCACTTCCGTTCAATCCGCTGTTTTCGTTGCTAATTCACAATCCAAAAGAAATAAAATGAATTAAAACGAAGTAAAGTAAGCAAACTTAACAAAAAAAGAATGAAAAAAAGACAGCAGTCGGAAACGTTAGAAATTTCGCTAAAATTCAAAAGATTATCTCAAATCATTCGCCACACTCTCACTTCCATTTCATGCTGTTTCTAGTTTAGTTAGCGAAAACACTTTCTCGATTCTTTTCTACTTGTTTTCTCTTCTTCATATGCATATTTTTCGTTTTTTTTTTGGGTTTTGTCTTCGAAGCGATTTCGTATTTTATTTCACCTTTTTCTTTAGCTCAAGTCAAATGTTGAATAAAAGTCTCTTTAATGTGAAGATGTGTTGAAGAAAATTCAGCTGTCGAGAAGAAAACAAACTCGGTATTTCAGCTCTTTTTCGCATATTAGGCCTGGTGAATTGGAATCCATTATTTTTGCATTAAATTTAGGGCTTCATTTGCCATGGGGAGAATTATCCGTTTTATGTCAAATATGCACCTTTTGCCTATTTGAACGAAATGTCTGTGTGCCTCTCTCATAAAAACCCCTTTCCGATATTGGCAAAAAAATTATATAATCGGGTTTTCATAGGCTTCCCTTCAGTCGAATTCTTCTTTAGCCAATTCATTCGCAACAGGCAGGAAGAGACGGTAATAATTTGCTGGGAGCTGTACATAATAATCCCCCAATCAAGCAGTCGAGCTTCTGGCGAGTCACTATCGATGCGTGTGGCCTAACGGTTTCATTAAAAAACACAATTCCCCTCCGGCATACCAGAGCTGGCCGCTTCTGAGTGATAGCTTCCTCCAGGCGGTCTAATTGCCGACAGTACTGATCAGATCCTGACTTGGAGACAGTTTGTGCCTGCTAGCTGCGCTTCAAACACGACCATTTCCGTTTGACGTTGCTATAAATGAGCCACTTAACATGACCAGTCCCCGTCCGTTTTAAAACTAGCAATGAAAATTCCATCCATCATCAAGCTTCTACGTTGTGTTTGTTGTCGTAGGGGCTACGCTAACACCAATATGGACAGGTTTAAAATTAATTTAAATCACCGAGGTGATCTAACGGGAGGTTCAAGAAATGTGCTTTTTCGACGGGATCGGCTGTGTCGGCTTGAGGGGCTTGTGAAGAGGTGGCTAGTGTGGTGCGGAGACTCTACACATGCT